TACCAAGCCATTTGACATCAGTGGACTGCATTTCAAAAAATTATTTTGAAGTTCTACTGTTAAGCCAATTGCTTGCACTTAATTGCCTGCCTGCTTTTTCCAGCTACATAACTGTTGGCTGCATGCTAGGTTTTATTCTCTAATAGCAGAAAGGCACATGTTCCTTAAAAGGAAATCCCACGCTGCTGCTCTGTTGTGACTCAACTAACTTGGCAAGAAATGAATTTACTCCATCTCCATATCAGATCCACATTAACCTGTGCTGAGCCACATGGATGAGAATGTTCAAAGGATTGGAACATTTAATAGAACCACAAGYGGTGTGGAGATCAGTGCAGGCCTTACTATTCACATGAGGCAATTAGCTTCATTAAAAAGTAAATTAAAAAATAATTTAATCTTTATTTGCAGAAAACCTATTAGAAATATTGAAACCCATAAAACTGGAACAATTCAATTTGAAAGGTACAGATGAAAATCTCACACACTACATGTGGTTGATCTGTCCATATGCCACCAATATAGGTAAGAAATACAGCAATACTACTATGCAAACTTTTTTAATCCAAGTTTTAATGCCACTGAATATCCGACACACACATCCCTCATACAAACCAAAAACTTACCAGGCAGAGCAAATGATCCTGATCACTGTGGCTACAAAGCAGGCTTCCCTGTCTTATATCACCTGGAGGGAATCCCAAAGAGCTGCCAGAAAATGGAAGCTTACACAGTTACTGGAAAATGCTAGAAAAGGAAACAGGGCAATTTTGGATGGACAGAGAGCACTACCTGWTTCTGTTCCTCTGGTTTATAGAAATCACTGTCCTGCATTAGTCACTGTAGTCTCCAAGTGCTTTTTTAGTTGCTCAGCAATTGAACGCATGACACTTCTTGTAGGGCTTTTTCCATGTTTGTTTGGGGTTTAGACGTTTTTTTCACATGGGATTGTTGTATGATGCAGCATTTTGTACRTGATAACACAGTGAGCTGTTGGAGAAGGAACTGACAAAGAAGTGCATCTTCCACCAGGAGCAGCAGTGAGGGTAGAATTTAGTGTCTGGAGAAGTACCTTTTGCATTCTTAAATGCTACAAAAGCAGTGTCTGCAGAACTGCATTACAAAAGGTAGTTTTAGGTACTTTCTACTGTCTCTCAGAGGAACAGGTATCAAACGGATGTCTGGAAGGGGACGACTTATGCCTGCCATTGGGGCCCTCAAAGCCAAGAGATGGCTTTTTTCCCCCAAGTTTTATTTTGCCAAAGGGGATGAATTAGAAGTGTGTTGTTTTGGAGTTGARTCATACATAAACCTGTATTTACAGGTGCTTTTCTTTCTTTCTCCTCCAGGAAGGAGGTAATCACTCATATGACTTCAGGAAATAGGTGTCAGAGAACGACTGTAAAAAAAAAAGAAAACATTTCCTTTAAGAGTATTCTTTGTGCCATATAYTTAAAGAAAAAGCATGGCTTTTTAACCAAAATAGGTTTTTCTCCATGGCTGGGTTACTACACAATGAAAAGGAGAAAAAACATTACAACATACATGCTTACTAAACAGTGAGAATTTTACACCCTACTACAAAATTAGAAAGAGAAGTGAAATACATGCAGTCTGGCTTCACAGATGACTTTAACAAGTAACTTCCTTACAGCTGTAATTTGTGAAGGTTTTGCAAGTAATTTCCTACTCCTGAACAGAGAATATGTTTTGATTTTAATTTCAAGCTGAAAATGATAAATCTGAGTCCCAACTATGAGACCGTTTTAAGGAACTACTATAAAACTACTTCTGTAATTTTCAGTTTTTTGAATATGAAAATTATATAACAAAATATATAACAAAATAATATTTTTTTTTGTTATATTTTGAATATAACAAAATCTATTTCCCGGCCTGCGCACTAATCYCAGAATCAGGAACACAGAAGTAATCAAGTGAGTAAAAGTAAGCCTTTTACACAGATGGCAGGTTTTGTAACTTGCTTTGAAGAGCAAACTAATTTGCTGTAGAAACCATGKTTTGTGTATAATTAATGGTATTTTTGGCCATTTTKGGGGGATCTGTTTGCTAAGTTTATTGTTTAGCATCCATGGTTTTGGATTTGTGGTTATGCCTGTGTCACTACACCCTACACATGACAGTATTCACACAGTGTGAATATGCAAAATGAAAYGTGTGAACAATACAGTGATAAATGATTCTTCAATTCCCCCCACAGTTTGACACATGTATCCAAGCATATTTACATACACATGTAAATACCCTGTTTGATCATTTAGCAAAGGGAAAGGAAATGAGGATGCTTAAATGGTAGTTTGATGCAAACCTGAAATGTTCACAATCTTTGAGTGCAGATGTGTTTTAAAGAATTTGTTAAAAATTGGTGTAGTAGTGAGAACTCTGATAAAAGTAATGAACAACCCTGAACAGACTAGTGAAAAAGGGTATTTCATAGGACAATACAGTTTCTTCCTATGTTATACTAAAATTTGTTTAAACTAATTATAATAGAAGGTAAACAAAAATGCCAGTAATCATTAGCTAAGCTGTCATGTAGGGAGTCCTAACACAGACTGGACTTTCACAATCCCATCAAGTGATGGTGTCACTCCTGAGGCTGAGGCTTTGTCACTCCTGAGGCTGAGAAATTTTGCAGGTCCAACTACACCTGACCCTGACGAATTGCTGAAACTTAACAATATAAGGATTTGTCATCTATTTCAGTAGAATTATTTTCCTTCTTTTCTTGTTCCCCTATCCACAGAGATCTTGATGAGGTGTGTCTTAATATATGCACTAAGCACCACCAGTGTAGTACACTACTCTCCTCAACTTTTAAGTGGTCTAGATATTAGTGGTATATTAGGTAGTTACTTTTGGGAGGCATCAGAACATTTTTATTTTGGAGTTTCTTTCCTTTTCCTGCTTGGAAGAAATTTTCAGTGTCACTGCAGCATGTTTACATGTAGAGTTTTCCACACCGCAAACTGGGAAGTCACATCAAACATGAAAAACAAACTAGTAGGGGGCGTAATACTACAGAAACTTTCTTAGAGAGGAAAGACTAGACATTATAGAAGAAAACATGCTGCACTTGACTATATTTCAAAATCACCAGGTAATCTTTACACYGCACATTCAAGAAAAACAAAGCAATGTACCCAGCGAGATAATTTGTAGTTCTGAAATGGCCTAGATTTTGTTTCCTGTGAGATGATGTTGTAGGTAATGGGCATACTCTTTCCTTCTGCAGAATAAAAAACTATGCATCACGACATAGAAAGGGCACGAGCAAGATTGTCCTTAAGAGTTACATTTTGACAGTACCAAATTGCTAGCTGACAGGTAACAGCCTGCTTTGAAAGCACTGAACGTCATGAGCATGAGCCTGCTGGCAGTCAGAGACTCATCATCTATCAAACKTTTATGTGGCTTTATAGTTCTCCCCTGTCCCAACTTGTGTTCTTCCTTTGTCTAAGAGACAACCCGGTTCATGAGCTTTCAGGTGAGGCATTACTTAACTTGGCATGGACAAGAAAAGAAAGAACAAGCTCGTTACACAGGAAGTAACAGAAAAGTGTGCATTTCRTAAGTCAGAAATGTGCAACAAATCCCAGGAGGTGGGACAGAAGTAGCACACACACTTTTCTTAAGAAACAACCGTGCATTTTTTCATCGGCCCAGCTAACACACGCACTACTGTGCAGCCAGACCGCAGCAAAGACGCACTGCTTGTTTACCAGGGCTGAACAAGGCCAGATCTGTCCCTCACTCTCGCTGGTCCCATGCCCTTTGCCTCACTGCGGTCCAGGTTTCGCCTCACCGCGGCTCCTACAGACAGAGACTTGTAAGAGACAAGAAGCCCTGGGTGCCCACACCGACTGTCGAGCAGGCAGCGGGGGCAAAGAGCAGCGCTTCTCGCGCCGACAAAACCCTGACGCCCTCTCTAGCGCCCACAGAGCCTGACAGAATTCCAGGTGAGTTTCGATCACGCTCTCAAGCACATGTGTGACTCTTGGGGATGGTCCTGTGCAGAGACAGGAGTTGGACTCGATGATCCAAGTGTGCCCGTCGCCCCTTCGAACTCAAGAGTATGCCGTGATTCCGTGACGAGAGGGCTGCCGCCTCCACGGGCGAGTCGCGCCGTGGCCCGCGGCCGCACGCTGTCCCAGGGCCGAGGGACACCCCGCCCTGCGCGGCACCCGAAAGCTCGGAGCGGAGCGGAGCGGAGCGGGCGCGCCTCGCCGGGGGGAGCGCGGCGGAACCCGCCCCGCCCGCAGCCGCGCGATGACGTGAGCGGCGGGAGCGCCGCCCAGCCGGAGGCAGCGGCAGCGGCAGAGCGCGGCTGGGCGCGGAGCTGCCGCCGCGTCCCCGGCCGGCGCCGCCGTGCATGGGGAGGGAGCGGGCGGGACGCTGCCTGCGCGCCGCGCTGCACAGCCGCCGCGGTGAGTGGGGCCGGCAGCGCCCGCCCGCCGGCGGGGCCGTGGGGGTGGCTGGGTGGCGGCTGCACCGCCGTGTCCCGCGCCCCGTCCCGCGGGTGGGGGCTCCCGCTGGCGGGCAGGGCAGGGCGGGCGCTCGGGGGGGGCGGCCCTGCCCGCCGGGCGCTGTGAGCGGGGCACCGCGCCGCTTCCTCCCCCTCGGTAAACAGCGCTCCCGGGGGCCGGGCCGGGGCCGACCTGGGCGGCGGGGAAGCTGCGAGTGTGGGTGCCGCGCCTCTTCGGTGGAGGTGCTGTGTGTTGCGGGAGAACTTCCTCGAGAATACTTATTTGTGCCGTTAAAAAAAAAAAAAAAAATTCGCAGAAGGAGGGCGAGCAGTCACGGAACCACATTTGTAGTTTTTCTCTATATGTCTTTGTAGAATTGCTTCTGCGTGGGGAAATACTCGGTTAGTTGTGGGATGTGAGTTAATGGATTTAATTAATTTTCAGAAGTTTTTTTTTTTTAAGAAAATAATTGCAGATAAAACCTAAGATTTTTTTTGTGGCTGAAATCTATAGAGCTTGATTGTGGCCTTGTCTTCAAATTCTCACTTCTGCAGTCAGTGACAGGTGAGAAAATGACGCTCTCCCTTGGTCGTTCATAAATTGTTTTATGCTGAAAAACGTTGACTGTAGTCCTTTTGGTTACTGGACAGAAGGAAGCCTAATTAGGGAGGTTGTAATGGCTATTTACAGTTTTGAGTGTGATTTTGCACTTGAGATTAGTTGTTTAAGGGTCCGTGTTTCTGACATCTTAGCTTTGTAAAGCTTACCAATTTGTTATCTACTTCCTCATTTTTCTGTTGTTAGTTAAATTTAATGTATATATAATTTAGGTGAGAAAGATGTATTTCTTAAATTTCTTTTTATGGAAAGTCAGTATTGACAGAACACTGTAGAGAGATTCTGTGCACTCTTAAATGTATTTTGGATCACTTACATGGATTAACTTTCTTTTCCATCCCTGCTTCTCAGTCTTCCTTGTAACTGATGTGGGGGTAATACTGCAGTGTTGTTCTTTGGGCATGCCAATTAATCTTCCTTTCTTAGGGTTGGTGGCAGTAATTTGAGGATTCAGTAGGACTACAGTAACCACTACTGTCTTCTGCTTGATGAGAAAGCATCCCAAGTRACTTATATGGTGTAAATCTAGAATTTTGAATTAAACAACTTCAGTACTATTGTATGAAATAACAGGGTTTTAAAGCAGTGGTGCACTTTCCAGAGAAGGCTTACATTTGAGCTATTTACAGAGATTTTAATTTTTGTAAGAGCCAACAACTGCAGCGGTTGCTGCTGGGAGGGGAAGTTGTAATGAGCAAGAAGTACATGGAATGCAGAATATGGTCCAACATCGTTGTTGGTTGAATCAGAGTGACTGGAACTGCGGAATGGAAAACGAAAGGAGGCTGCTACTGCTTTTTACATGTGGGTGTTCAGAGTGACAATTAGGCTGATAAAAAGTTGAAATCTCTGTAGAATAACCATTTCCAAACCATGTGGAGGTAATGTTATGCATGACCACAAAATACTACTAAAAAGTGAGTGTTAGTATCATGTTGTACTGGCAGTGGCATCTGCTTTCTGAAGTTAGAAGAAAAGCAGTTGCTGAACTGAGATTGTTGATTTACCATTGGTGTCTTTTTATCTCAGCTCTGGGGCATTTTTGCAGTATGATGGTAATTATGTAAACAAAAACTATGYGACGATGCTTGCAGTTACAAGAAATAACCTCAGATCTCATCTGAAAGAGCCTTAAAAAGGAAATAAAATTCAGAAATGTAGTAGTATTAAACACAGAGAGTAGTAATTGTGTTCATTTTGAATAGAAGAGTATCAAATGTCACAAAACTTGTAATTAATGTAGTTGACCATTAAAACTAAGTAATTAATGTAGTAGACCATGCAATAGTAAAGCAAGTATTTGTTCTAAAAAAATTGCATTCTAAAAAAAACAGCTGGAAGAAGGCAAAATCTGGTGGCTTTGTTTTAGCAAAGTAACTGGAACTTAGAGTAGGAGGTTGAATTACATGACCTGTGAGGTTCCTTTCAACCCAAATTATCCTGTGCTAGTGCTCCTATGCTCTTACAGGCTAGCATTTTTGTTTTAACATTCCCACTACTTTTTACCTGGGCTTGCATACAAATGTTACCACTGTCATTAGGCAGTACGCAGTTACATATTTCCTTTTGATTTAACAGAGCTGCTATTTCAAAGCCTCTCACCCTGGCTGTGCACCGATTCTGGTGGGTTCCTTACGTATTCGTACATCCCATGGGGTTCTCAGCAGGAGCCCAGTGAGATGACTAATATGAGTAATACTAGCATGATCTGAGTCAACATTTGAGCTCATGCTTACGTTTGTATTTCTCTAACTTGTTTCAGATACCATTTCTTTATCAGAAGGTGAATGAGAAGCTTTCTTGAATTTCTGAATATGAGATTTAGCATATTATTCCGTAAAATAGATCTATCTTCATGGAGATGTGAAAAACGGTACAAAAATGTGAATATACAAAGAAGCTTCTTTATAGTAGTTCTTCTGAAGGAACTGTTACCCAGTTTTATTTGCCTCATACAAATAGATGCTTTTTGCTGCATGCTGTGTTCATTTAGAGAGTACATTGTATCTCTCACTTAAATGGGTTGTATGCCTCTCAGTACAGTGAGAGCTACCGACAAGTGTAAGGTAGGTTGTCATTGTCATTTGCAACCTGCAAGATGCTCAGAGAAACACAGTGATGCCTCACTCAGATGTTAAGCTCTGTGGGTTATGCAGTACTGGATGCAGAGAGGTCTGGTTCACATGGACAGTGATAACCCCCATGTGTTATGTGGAGCGACTTGCCTAGAAGGCAGTTGTCCATCTAATTCTGGTTATGTAGTTACTGTATCACACAGTCAAAGCTAAATCTTTAAATCTGATTTGCAGGGAAAAAAAAATCCAATCTGGTGCAGGCAACTATTGATTTAAAATCAATAAAAGCATTGTTCTTTTATGAGGTAAGTTGTCTCTGCATCTGTCTTTGGCAATGATTCCCACAACAGTATTACCTGGTGCCTTTTGCTGTTAGTAGATTGCATTTTAATCATGGTTGCACATTTCCTTTTATTAGGTAGGGAGGCATTAGCTCTTGATGCTTTGATTTTCTGTCTTCTTGGCTTTCTTCTGGTGWGGTTGTTTTTTTTGCGGAGGTCGGGGGAGGGGGTATATATGTGTGTGTGTATTTTCTTTTTTCTTAGAGTCTTTAGTACTTGTTTATAGCTCATATGAATCAATGAATTGATTCTGTTTTTTTTCTGGTTTTTGTGGTGCCATGAAAGACAATATTCCAGGTGAGTTGAGAATGTTTTCAATCCCTTCCCTCTTTTCATTGGAGCGCTTTGTTTCTTGTCTCACGCGTGCCTGTATTTAGCAGAGATTCTGTTGAGCTGCACATCCTGTGAATGGTTGTTTTGCTCATCTGCTTACATTTGGTTTAAAATTTAATGTCATGTGGGATTAAGTGCAAGTTATTCTTTCAGGAGTTTATAATTTTGTATTTGTTGACATCAGTTGTTACCTGTCTTCTGTTTTTCTTTGTTTGGCTAGCTCTCCATTTTGATCCTGCTCGTCTCATGTAGACCAGTTATCACCGAAGTTCTTTTCAGGCTAGGACTTTGAAAATGCTATATACTTGCATAAATGTATATGGTGTGGTATTTCTTGCTCTGCCAGCATCCCCAGATGCAGGTGTGGGACCTTTTCTGGTATTTACCCCAATTCTTGATCTGTGTGTTGTTCATGGTGTGGTTTTTATTTGACAGTCCAGTGGAGCTGGTTTAGCTGGTTTTACATTTATCATTCTGCTTATGTGCTTCAGCAGCTGCAATAGCTTGCACGACTTAAGAAAGTCTTTTACAGGTGTGTTGAGTAAATGGATTTATTATACATATTCATAGTGTTGTGATTAAAGTTATTTGCATGTATAATTAAAAATTTAAAAACACTTTCTTACGTGTCTTCATTGGTCACAAGGATTTTTCTTTTTGTAGCATTTAATGACAGTGGCTGTCAAATCAGTTTAAATCTGCTTGTGAGGCCTTTTTTCTTTTTTTTTTTTTTTTTTTTTTTTTTTTTTTTTTTTTTTTTTTTTTTTTTTTTTTTTTTTGCCTAGTCTACATCATCCTGTTTACCACAAATAATGCAAGAATTTTGAGGGATTATTTTGTGGGGGCAGATAATATCTTAGAAGAATAATGTTAGTGCACAGGTCTAGTATGCTTTAAATGAATACTAATGATCTCTGCTATCCATTTGTCTTGCTTTATTACTAGGATTTCATAGTTATGACCAAAATGTTCATCAGTATTCGACATGTCACACCACTGGCTGCAGCTTGGATTTCTAGCAGAGTCCAGTATTTCTAAAGTAAATTGATAATATCCAATCTTGATACATAAATACAAGGTAAGTTTGGTACCTGTATTTATCAAACAGTTTTTAGAGGCCTCAGTTATGCAAGTGCATTTAGATTGGGAGGCCTTTTAACTTCAGCATAAAATTACAGGATTACTTGTATRGATTCCGTTATGGAGATATGGCTGCAGGTGGTGTCTGAGTTATGTGTCAGGTAAAATTTGACTATGAGACTAATGGAAGAGCATTTGAGGACAAAGACCAATGGAGGAAAAAAAGCCCCATTAATTCTTAATGGAAGAGAGGTTTATAAATTGTGGAGAGGGAATTATAAACCATGAAGTCACGGAGATCTAAGAGTATGATGGAGTAGTATCATGATCTGTATTAACTATACTCTTAAACTGTCTCTGGTTCTCAAGRCTTCTTTTTCTTCAGCCTCTCACAAACATTGGTATTTATTACTCCCTCAGTTGTGTAAACACAGTAGTTTTTTGTAGGGCTAAGCTGTAAACTGTGTCACAAGTGACCTAAGTGAAAATTAATTTTTTTGTCTCATGTGGAACAAGTGGTGCGAGGGAAAGGGAACAGACAGGGTAACTTCTTAAACTGGCTTGCAGTGTCAGAGAAAATGTTGTGTAACCACATCCTGGATAACCCCGAAGATGGACTGAGCTACGAGAGAAGTGTTGGGTTCCCAATGGAATTGGAGGGCACTGGATTGCACAAGACCCAGATCCTCAGCTGTGGGCAGTAAAGCATGTGTCAATCCAACAGCTGGCTCCCAAAAGACTGAGACTTTGGAACTACTCTTACAACTGTGTAAATAGGTGCATGGTTATCTTTTAATTGCTGTGTATCTGGGTCTTCATAAACCTTTGTAACTATGCTTTCTGTCAGGGAGCTTGTGAAAAAGTACTTCTRGTTGCTTTTCTCCTAAATTGTTTACTTCAGTGAAAGGGGATTTCAAGGTAGTTGGCTAGCATTAGGGCATTCTATTCCTATAGGTCTTTTGGTTCCCTAATACTTGAAGCTCAGCACACTAAAATGTTCTTTTGGATATTGAAAAGATGATAGAATTTTACTGAATTTCAGTATTTTCAGAGTATTTGAGAAGCATACTTGTGGAAGTTGGGGAGACACGTTAGACTTAAATTTGTGATAACAAGCATGCAAAACTGTTAGTAGAATGTACAGGTCCACTGTACTTTGTTACTTTGCTATGCAAAGTGGATGTAAAAATGATGTAAAAATGATCTGGAAACTTCACTTTTTGGTGTGCATTGGTAGACCTAAAGGCAGTGTGATGAAATAGATGGGCATCAAAGTGGAGAATAAATAAACCAAGGGATGTATTAGGTTGAGGTTTAACAAGATATCAATCAAAACTAAATGAATTTGAAACTATGTCTGCAATACAGACACATGTAGGTGTACCTGAATTCATATTTCAGCAGCTGGGAGCCCAAGCAGGGTAAATGTACAGGACACAGAAAGTTTCACATTGCCTTTGCTACCCAAGCTGGTTCAGGTGTATTTGAGGCATTTAGAAGGATATCTTTAGACTGCAGCAGCCTTAAGCCATGCCATAATTTTCCTGGGCTTTGTTATTTTTCCAAAGAGTTCTGCCACTTGCTCAGATTGCTAGCTTATTGTCCTGGTTTCAGCCAGGACAGAGTTAATTTTTCTGCAGTAGTGTCAGGGGGTGGATCCTAGAGTCATCTGGAAGTGTCTGTGTTATTATTCTTTACCATGCATCTCATTGATGCTGTCAGAACTAGGGAACTCTCACTTCTGGAAAGAAGGGTGTGGCTTCGAGTTGAGAAAAGGTGTGATGCGTGAGGGGAACCTGGGGTCCTTGGGGAGCATTTTGCATGTAAAAATCACCCTCTTTTGTACACTTTTACTATTAATACTGTTGCTGTTACTGTCTGTTTTCTTATCTCATGGCTGTTTGCAGTAAATTGTTGTTATCTGAACCCATAATCTTTTTYTTGTCTCTTTCACTGGAGCACGGATGGGGAGGGATCAGCTAGGATTTGTTTTTAGTGGGAGTACTAAATTGGGAATGCCATTCCTAAACCATGATACTTATCAATATTTTGCCAGTGAACTCACAATACTGAGTTTTAATCTCACTTKGGAATACTAAAATGTTTTTACTTTGTTTTCTGTAAAAGATGGTAGTATTTGTTTATTTTGTGGTGGTTCTGTGAGTTTTGTCACATAATTTTTTTGAACTCTTGACCATGAGGTAAATATTTTTGTGTAGGTTAGTAATACGTGATGTCTCTTTTTGTAGTTTAAGTTGTTATGCGGTTGTGCAGTTGTGATGTGGTTATGCAATTGTGATGTGGTTGTGCAGTTGTTATGACTATGCAGGGTGGGGAAATAATATTTCTTAGACTTTTCAGAAGCATATTTGAAGTTTGTCAGGACCTGATTTACAGCAAATTAACTGCATGCCATAATGTGTTAGAAGGCATCATCTGCCCAGTGACTTGCAATAGCTTGTGGACTGCTCAACCAAATTCTGTAGAAGGTCTTTGAGCAGCTTTATATTTCAATTACTTGAAGCCATTCTTGGAGAAATAGAAAAGCTTTACTTTTGAACAGCACTTGATGCTTTCTGCTCATCAAACCACTTTGCTCCTTCTCCTGCATCTGTAGTAGGTCCTGGATGAGCAACCAATACTAAATTGCTGCAGTGTAGCTGAAGTGTTTTTGACTGAAAATACCTAAGGGGAAGTGACCTTGGGTGCCCTTTATCATACAGTTAATGGTTTAAATATCCACAAASCCAGGAAAACTGATGGTCCTCTGTCATGCTGAGGAGATGTACAGAACGAAAACAAGATCATATTGTCCCTGATCTTCAGTGGACAGGCAGTTAGCAGAGGAGAAAAAGGTTTCTTTAAATTACTGTTTGTTTTAAAGAAGGTCATTTGGAGATTGTAATTACAATTTTGCTAAAGCCTGAATTTAGTCAAATATTGTAACTTCTGGTTGAACAGAGATACTGCATGTAAAGAACCACAGAATAATATGTGAGGAGGGGACCTCAGTTCATTTCTGTTCCCAAGTTCTTCATAAATCAGAGTCAGTAAGGAGGTCATAACGGATACAAAAGCTATATCCAGGCAGGTTGTACAAACTCTAAGGATAGAGGCAACACTGACTGCTGGGCCATCCTCTGAATGTCAGACTTTATATYGTCTCTGATCATTTTGTTTTGCAATTTGCTCTTGTTGTCTCTTGTCCTGTAAACAGCCTGGCTCCACCTTCTGAATGACTTCCATGCTGGTATTGGGGACTGCTGCGAGGCTGCCCCAGTCCCCTGGATGTGGAACAGGCTCTGCTCTGTGCTGCAGCCCCCCGCTGTCCTAGAGGTATCCACTGTGAACTTGTTGGCCAGTTTTTTTCTGTGTTAGGTAGTTGGATAGGCCTGGACTCAGAATTCAAAATTCAGCTAAGATCTGAATATTGGCCGAGGACAATAGATGGCCAAAGACATTCCAGCAATCAGACTGGGAACATATTCCTGCCTCAGTTTGTGTAAAAATAACTGTAAGATGAACTATGTTTGGTTTAAACCCTTGAAGGATATTGTGACTAGAAACAGGCTGTTCAGCTCATGTAATTACTGAGCTTTTATTCTTTAATGAACTGCACAGTTTGAAAAATAGAATGTGTTTTGATAAATTTATTTGTTTATGTAGCATGTCTTTGTAAGTATTGTATTTAATAATGTCAACTGTATTTTTTTTCCAAAGTTTCACATGCTTTTGCTACCTTTCAATTTCAGAAATGAAGTATGCGAGCAGAAAGGTAAAAATTACTATAGTTGAAAACTGTAGCCAATGTGCTTTTAAGCATAATGTAATTTATTAAAATTCAGAGTCTGGATTAAGCTCATTAAGTTCCATCTCTTCTTACATAAAAATGCACCATAATGTGTCTTGTTTAATTAAAAACATTAGTGCAAAGAACTGTTTGGCTGCTTCAGTGATTAAACGTGTGGAACAACAGTTTAAAAAGTAAACGTGCAACATGGGTGGTTTATATTAAATATTCTCTTTGATTTCAGTCATACTTAAGATATTTTAATATAATTTGAATGAATCAATTTGTCTGGCCATTAGATTGCTGAGTATTTAATTATATATTGCTTGCATATAACACGTTTTTATATTTGGGAGATTGTGTTAGTTTGGTTTTTTCCTTTTTTAAATTCACTTTGRTTCGTTAAGATTCATGGACTGGAACTTCTGAAATGTTATGGTCCTTTGTTTTTGTCAGGTCGTTAAACTTCAGCCAGTTGAGACCAATGCATTCTGTTTTGCTGGAATGAATGTCTTCTAGAACTAGTTACGAGGGTGTGCCAGTACATTTGGTCCTTCCATCAAACTGGATGATACAAGCTCACAAGTCAGGTTAGCCTTTCTTAACAGCTGCTCTGTGATCTCATTGCTTACCAATAAAGTTAATTGCAGAATGCAAGTTTCTTCCCCTGAGGAACTTAAATATATCATGGATCAGCATGCCTTTTTTTTGCATAATTTAATGATGTCTAAATTTGTTTAATGAGAACTGTTATTACTTATGCCGGAAATTCTTGTGTTTCTTACTAAGATTTGCTCTGGTACTTGAGGAGTTAGTATATATGTAATGTTAGAAGACTTGCCTTCTGTTTCCACTTCTTTTTGGTTTCCATTGCTATTTAAATTTCATGTTGCTGCTTCTTCTCAAATTAAAATAACCTAAATGATTAGGGTGTTTTATTGTTTATTTAATATTAGTTCAAAAGGGTAAAGAAGAAATTTTAAGAAATCCCATTATTAAGCAAAATATCATCTTAATTGCTTCCCCTGTTAGAGAGAAGTATCTATTCAGAGGTAGTAAACATACATGAATTATTACTGTGGTATTATGGGTTGAAAACAATCTGAACTTATTTCCAGTTAAAAAGAAAGTCTAATTTCTCCTCTAATAGTTAATTCTTTGCAATACATTACAGTGATTCTAGAATACTTACCTGTTTTTTTGGTGCAGTCTTTCTCACCTAGACATAATTTCCAGTTACTCACTGAGCCTTTAGAGAAAGAAACTATGCAAACAAAATTGATGGACATCCTCTTGCTGTCATGGAGATGAGATGGGAAATCATTGTCACTGATGGCACTTGAAAGAGAAGAAAGAGCAACTAAGGGAAAAAAAAACAATATTAAAGCTTTCTTGATAAAGGCAYACAAGATGCAGCAACAAGGTTAAATGGGCTTATAGGCTCGTTTGGTAAGCTTACACAGCAGGTAGTAGGAAAAAGGTTTGTTTAAATTGTAAAAGTGAATTTCTATTAGGAATGATGCACACACAAAGATAGCTATTTTGAACCTACAAGTAAAAGAAGACACTCTTAGTCAAAGACAGTGGGGGGAGAGTGTACCTTACTGTTTCTAAATGGTTTTATTTCTAGTGTTGTAAGAAAATGAATTTTYGTCTTTTACTACAACACCAAAATACTGCTGCATTCCTTTCACACACTAGTGAAGCATGAGGTGAATTTACAGGCAGAAACAGGAACTCAGTAGGATTCTGGAAATAAAATGGGCTTRAAATAAGGAGAGAGCAGGAATGTAAACAGCTTTGTCACATCATCYTTCCAGATGCCTCTCTGTTCATTACCTTCTTACCATCTTTTTTTCTTTCAGAACTTTCCTGTCATGTTCAACATATGTCCTGTTCTGGCTTTGTTGCTTTCTTGCATTCCTTCCTCTGGTCCCATTAATAAAACAGCCATTCGCTGATCTGCCCTGACTCAAGTAGGTTTTAAGATTGCTTTCAGATCTTGACAGTAGTCAAGGTCTTGACCTACTTGGAATCAAACTTCATGGCCCAAATCTAGCCAAGTGTATTGCCTTTCAGTTTACATTACTAAAATAACCTTTTGTCTTTCTGGATATGTTGCCCTCAGACTTGCTAGAGCAAACTCCCCAGTCAAGTTTTGAATGCCTCCAGAGAGAAAATGGGAAGAAAATAAAATAACAAAAAAGCACTTTGCAGCACATTTAATATGACTATGTTTACAAGCTGGGCTAAGTGATATTAAAATTAGCTGGGAGGTTGGGAAATTGATTTTCAGTTGAAGAACTGTTGCCGGTTTTGAAGAAGAAATTAGTTTTGATTTGCTAGTGGAAGAAACAAACTGCTTATGAAAAACAGGTTGTGAAAATACTTAGGTCTTTTAGTCTCAGTGGGCAAAGGTGTGGTATTTTGATTAGAATTTCTTTTGAAGTGTGAGGAAGGAGAAATTATCAATGTCTTTGTCTGGAAGGAAAAGAGAAACAGGCAGGTTGTTTGGTGGTATACTGGATGAGAACTGATRTTTAGTCTGAATACAAGGATAATGGTAGGGAATCAAAATGTAGAACAAATGAGGGAAAGCAAATGCAGATGACAGGTAATTAAGAAGGTGCAGGAAACCATGGAATCTGGGTTGGTTAGAGTACGATGCTAATAATGCTSAGCTTGTGGGTTCAGTCCCCACACAGGCCATTCACTGAAGACTTGGGCTCAGTAATCCTTGTGGRTCCTGTCCAACTTGGAGTATTTTGGGATTCTTGAAGTTAAAACTGTCCTTGCCTCTGGCTGTGAAGTGTCACAAATGTGAACTGAGTGTTCTGCGGAGGTGTGGATGGATGAGTGTTTCTGTATGGAAATGCAGACAGATGCAAGTACTTGTGTGTGCCTTTTAACTTTAACTGTTACTGCAGTAGTAACTGTTGGAAAGTACAGTGCAATGCCAAATTTCAGTGAAGCTGATGTGTTGAGAGTAGAGAGGTCCTTTGTGATAAGACTTTGGAAATGTTCTTTTATAACCTCAGTATAGAAGATTAATACAGGAAAAGATTGATGCTGGTAGGTGTTTGAAGTGTGTGCAAGTGCTCTGTGCAAGTGTCTTGCTCACTTTTGATTCATTATGGTTGAGGGCCAGACACTCTGGCTGTATGTGAACTTTAAGGATTTCGTAATTTATACTAAAATTTTCTCTAAACAAGTGTTTATTTCCCCAGAAAATGTTGTATCTTACACATGTGTTTGCACAGATTCCTTACTTCTTTTTCATCTGTACCATTTCACCTCTTGAGTTTCTTGACAGAGGARTAAGCAGAAATACGTATTTCAGGCTGTAGTCTGTTCATTATTTAGGCCATGTGATGGAGTAAAGTAGCAACTTAATAAACCTTTTATTTATGACACCTCTATTTACTGGCACAGATCATCGACAGAATTTGCAATTGTAATTTGTGATCTCTGCTCTCCTTTTGTTCCTACATACCTTTATTTTAAAATTTTGTTTTATCTCTGTTATGTAATGGCCCTTTTGAAGTCAGTTAAACRTGGGATCGCAGTACTAATTCACTGAGTGGATTGCTGGTGCATTGCAACACAATATAACTGTTTTTTCACTGAAACAATTATATACCCATTAGTTCACGGCTATAAATGCAGTGTTTACTGCAAAATGTTACGCAATCTATTGGTTTTATGAGAGGAAATATTTAGTAGCAAATCATTGCAGACATATATATGCATTAGTCATTCTATATTTTAAATTATGACAYGCCTCTGTTTTATGGAATATTGGAGTCAACTCTAGGTAATTATTAGCATTTTGTATGCTTTCAAAATGTGGTAGAACATTTCAAATGTATTGTTGCTAATGCTGCTGTTTCTGCTAGTTTCAAAACATTTGAAAAGTACTCGCTGTGTTTCACAAGTAGATCAAAGTGCTACTGTTGGACTAGTTCACACAAAGTCTGGCTTTAGTAAATCTCATTATATGATTACAGCCATACTTAAAGTGTTAAATTCTGTGTACAAGTAATGAAACAAATGGCAGGTCAACTGTGGATTACACAGACTGTATGTGGGAGTGTCAGTTTGTTAAGTTGTCTGTCTTTTCAATTTTGTCCTTGTAACCTGAAAATCCTAGTTGACTTAAGAACGTCATGTTTGCTGGCAAGACTACTATGATAACTAGACCATTTATTTGGAACAGATGTGTGATCTCTAGACTCAGTAATAGCAGCACATGATTTGACATCTGCAATGGTGTGTTCCTTTCACACAAAAAATAGAAGATGAAAAAAACCCTTTATGTAATTTTCAGTTCACTAATAGTGCTGGAACTAATGGCTGTAAGACTGTAATCTAAACTTAATCWCAGGCAGAAACGAAGTAATTTGCAGTGCAGAAATAAGTAAAAATTGGCAGTTTTTCTTTGTGGCGAGATGACCCTTAGTGATTACATGAAAARGAGTTTTCTAGAACATTTTCCTAGACAYATTTCCTTATATGTTCCAGAGTTTGTATAATTTTTTAAGTGAAGTTCTTTCCCTATTAGAAGTCATTCTTCGATTGTTGCCTGTTTGCAGATAATCCTATCTTGCAGAGTTCAGTTGTCACATAAATAACCTGATCAATAATTTCTACTWTAAATGGATTATTTAAAATACTGACTTGACAGCCGTTACACAAGAAGACACGGAAGATTATCAACTCCGAAAGGAACTTGTATGCTCTTGAGTGATAAGGAAGTGAAAAACTAGGGAGAGCTGGCTCTTTTGTCTTCTACCAATAGGAAAAAAAMCCCAAATCTCTCAAAAGGGCAGAACAAGTTCCAYTGAGGAGCCCAGCTGCTAGGAAAGGAAGGAGGAAATAGGAAATGGAGAATGCCCAGAATAAATAAAGGAAAAGGAATCTAAAATAGGGAACTTTTACAAAATGCRGAATAGAGCAGGTATATGGAGTAAAGTGGAAAGAAGAAAAGCAGGTTTCTTTTTCCCCTCCTTTTTTTTGTTCTTTTGTCTTTTTAAGGGCAGGGAGAGGGTCAGGATGTATAAAAGAGAAGGGAGGAAGAAAACCAGGGAAAAAGTGGAAGGGAATTTATCTGCCAGCATAATTATAGTGCTGCTGTACTAAAGGCTCAGCTTGAAAAAYATTTTGAGGTTTTATAGGACCAGTACAGGCAGTGTATTTGCATTTGTGTGGTAGTGGGAAAAATATTTAACTGCTTGCTCAAGTCAAGCTACCACATTGGAAAAGCTCATGAAATGCAGTGCCAATAACTGGGGGAGTCCTCAGCAGCTGAGCAAAGGCTGTACAGAAGGGACTGATTAGAGAGCAACTGGAGCTCARGGAAGACAGTTGAACTACATAAAGGACTTCTTTGGATCTGTAAAAGGAATAAGATATAATGACATTTCTTCTGTTTTCATGATAGTGAAAACCACACTTGTTTCAATAACTTGTTGGGCAGTTACCAGTTGAACTCTGGTGTGTGAAGCCTTTGGCTGCCTGGCTGTACCTCCCATATTAGTGACCAGGCAGAAGTTTCCCACTCAGTCTCTCAGTCAGAAACACATAAAAGCAG